GCTGCGTCGGTGAACCCGCCTAATGCTAAACCGCGACTTTTGGAACCGACTATCTCCGGAACACGCCGAGGCGTGTGGGCCGGCCGAGTTGGAGAACGCATCTATCTAATTCCGAACCGTGACTTTAAAATGCGACTCTCTCCGAAGTAAGCCGAAGCTCGCGGCCCCACCACCACGCCGTGAGCTGGAACGACCGAGTGCGCCCGAAGGGACCCGAAGCTGAGGGTCCGCCCCTTTCCGAACGCCGTGCTCCAGGTCCCGCCTCCTCTCCTTCTCCAGTCTCAACCCGTTTCCTCCGGACTCGAAGGCTTGGCCCCGCCTCTCTAACCCGAAACCCCGCCCCCTCGCGTATTGGCAGCTCTTTGCCCCCGGGCCTCGCTGAAAGAACGCGGCTGGCATCCTGGCGTGCGCTGGTGTTCTGGGTTCTTTTCCTACGGTGCTGTATCCCGTACTTGAGCCGCTCTCGGGGCCTGCACCGCGCAGCTCTGTCGGCACCATCGGAAACAGGCCGTGCGGGGGCGTGCTGATCTGGGGGAGGCGTGGCCCGAGCAGAGGCGATCGCGAAAGAGGGCTCCTCCGCAGCCTCCTGGCCGGCTGACGGTTCAGGTGGGCCGGGGTGGGTATGTACGGTGGCGGCGTCGCCGAAGATCGTAGGGTGGCGGGGTGCGGGGACAGCGGCCAGAGCGTGGTCCCCGGCTGGGTGGCGTAACCGCCTGTGGATCTGCTGGGGCGGAATCGGATCCACGCTGGGCTTGCACGGGGCTGGGCTACGGAGGGAGCCTGCAGATGAGACATTGCCATCTCTCCAGGGTCTGGGTTGGAGAGGAGGCCAGAGCTCTGAAGACAGGTGGATGCTAAATGCTGGGTTCTTCCGGGCTGAGTGGGGGTGGGTTCTTCGGTCCTCTGAGACGTAGGGGAGAACGGGGATGCAGACAGCAGTCTAAAGGGTTCCTGTGTACTCAGAGGAGGGTGGAAGCGATGTGGATTCCTGGGCTGTTAGAGAAGGGTCTTGCAAAGGATTGTTTTCCGTGCCTGAAGGTGTCTGGTTGTTTGGGTCTTGAATGAGGGTAGGAGAAGCACTTTTGATTTCTACATTGGCGGAGGTTGGGGTGGGGCCTTGACTCCTGGGTCCTGGAAGGGGGATTGAGCTGGAGGCCTGGGTTCTCAAAAGCAGGGGATTCTACTATGAAAAGAGGAAGGGACTGGAATACTGGTTCTCACTGTGAGCCCTTCCTCCACCCAGACCATGACACCCGAAGAATGGACATATCTAATGGTCCTTCTTATCTCCGTCCCTATCGGCTTCCTCTTTAAGAAAGCGGGTGAGTCAGGTTCCGTGCCCAGTGGAAAATTAGGGTGAGGGAGCGGAGGTGGGGATCACCCCCGCCTGAAGGTTCTGGGCTTATACTTTACCTTTTCCTTTCAGGACCTGGGCTGAAGAGATGGGGGGCAGCAGCTGTGGGCCTGGGGCTCACCCTATTCACCTGCGGCCCCCACACTTTGCATTCTCTGATCACCATCTTGGGAACTTGGGCCCTCATTCAGGCCCAGCCCTGGTGAGAACGAGGTGGTGAGAAAGAAAAGAGGATGCAGAGCAACAGCAACCTGTTTCCTCTTTGGGTCTTCCAATTTCTTCTCTTTCAGCCTCTTGTTCATCTCATGTGCCTTTCTCTGTGTCTTGGCCGTTTTTCTTCCTCTCTCACCTTGGTCTGGACCTTCTTGTCCCCGAGTATTTGCCCCAGTCCTGAATATCCACATGATGGTCATTCATAACCCAGTCTTGAGCTCTGGATCTTACAGAGGGCTGAGATGTCTTCTTCACCCACAAAGCTTCCCTCTTAACTCCTCTCATTCTTTTCTTCTCTCTGGCTGTGTTCTTCTGTCCCTGCCTGCCATCCACCAGTCCTCCCTCTCCCTCTCTTTTCTGTCTGAATGGGGGGTGGGGTGGGGTATGAAGCCACACTCAGGAGAAGGAAGAAGAGGCTAACTAAGATCATCCTTGTACCCAACACGATAACTTCCCACCTCTGTCCTAGCTCCTGCCATGCCCTGGCTCTCGCCTGGACCTTCTCCTATCTCCTCTTCTTCCGAGCCCTCAGCCTGCTGGGCCTGCCCACTCCCACGCCCTTCACCAATGCTGTCCAGCTGCTGTTGACACTGAAGGTGAGACTTGGGAAACGCTACTGCCTTTTTTTTTTTTTTTTTGGCTGGGAGACAGGTAGCCTCTTGTTCTCTCCTCCCAGACTTTCTCATAGTGGGTAGCGGGCTGTGGATTATTATTATTATTATTATTATTATTATTATTATTATTAGTTTGTAAATCTTTCACAAACCCTAAGCTTGCAACGTCACCTCTCTCTGGGGACAGAGTTCACCTCTCACATACTATTATTATTATTATTATTAGTTTGTAAATCTTTCACAAACCCTAAGCTTGCAACGTCACCTCTCTCTGGGGACAGAGTTCACCTCTCACATACTCCGGAGAAGTCTTCACCTCTACACTCATTCCAGCATCAGGAGATATCCCAAGTGCTCTATCACAGGCCACTTGGCTCACCTAGAATGTGCCAACCCAGCATGCTTTGTCAACATGCTCTTCTTCAGTCTGTAGCAGACTATCCTCCAAGGAGGAAATACCACTGTGGAGAAAAGGTATCTGGCCCAAGGGCACACAGCTGGGACTACCAGGTCTTGTTTTGTTTTGTTGTTTTGGTCTTGAGATAGAGTCTCTTGTAGCACCCTATGTTGGCCTCAAAGAAAGATGACTTTGAACTATTTTTTTTTTCTTCCCGAGGCAAGGTTACACTGTGTAGCCCTGGCTGTCCTGGAACTCACTATGTAGACCAGGCTGGCCCCGAACTCACAGAGATCCGCCTGCCTCTACCTCCCAAGTGCCAGGGGATTGTAGGCATGTACCACTGTGCCTCGTTTATGTGGTACTAGGGAATCAAACCAAGGGCCTCAAGCACACTAGGCAAGCACACAACCAACTATACTACATTCTTAGCCCTGGGTCTGACCACCACCTAGGAAGAGGGTGAAAAGAGATTGGTCCTCAGTTCCTAGCCCAGACCACAAGAGCTCTTGCTATGTTCTTGGCTCCAGCAACATAGGTCTGGACAGTCCTGCCAGGCTGAGAACTGGTTTCTCCCGACTTCTTTGTTGTTACGACAAACTCCACAGTGGGTCAGCTATGAGTTGGAAGAAGAGCCTTTCAGGGTCTGTGTGGACCTGCACATGTGGATGTGAACGGGCTGGGTACTGCAGACTATGCTTGTGGTCCCCTTTCTGAATAACATGCAGTTGAATGGGCAGCAGAAGCTAGGCCACAAAGGGCTTTGCTGGCCATGATGAATATGGAACTTCCTCCTATTGGGGGCTGAGATCCCTTGGGAAGAAAGTTTTTCATTTTGTTTATTTGTTTTTTGTTTGTTTGTTTCTTTGTTTTGGTTTTTTTTTTGGTTTGCTGGCCAGGAGATAGGATACAGCAAACCCACCCCTTCAGTAATAACTTGCCATGGGTGCTGGGAGAATTAAGTAGGATGGAGTGAGATGAGATAGGATCCTGTTGTCAGAGTCAAGCATGATGGCTCATGGATGTAATACCAGCATTTAAAAAATATATATAAACTGGGCATGGTAGCACATGCCTTTCATCCCAGGGAGGCAGAGACAGGTGGATCTCTGTGAGTTGAGACCAGCTTGGTGTACATAGAGAGTTCCAGGACACCCAGGGCTACTTAGAGAGAACCTGTCTCCAAAAACAAAAACACCCTCCCTTCAAAAAGACCCCCCCAAAAAAACAACAAAAAACACACCACCAGAAAAACTGGACTGGAGAGAGGTCTCCATGGTTGAGAGTGCTGCTCTTCCAGAGGACCTGAGTTCGGATCCTGGCACCCAGACTGAGGGGCTCCCAAAGAACAGTAACACTAGCTCTAGGGGAGATGATACCCTCTTCTGGCCTCAGGCATCTACACACAGAGTCCATACACACAGAGACACAAAAATGAAACTATGTATTAAAGACAAAAAAAGCTAGTGTGGTGGTGCACGCCCCGCACTCAGATGAAGGCAGGACCATCCTTAGCTGCATGGTGAGTTTGAGAAGAGTTTGGATTATATAAGACTCTGAAGAAAAAACAAGGCTAGATGACTATGAAAGCAGCTTGATAATACACTGTGAGCTGTAAGCAGGTGACTCAGACCCACCTTGGGACATGTTGCTTTGAGGATGATTTGAGGGTTTTGATGTTTGTTGTTGTTTTGTTTTTGACAGCGGCTTGGTGAAGGGAGACAGAGTTGTTAAAAAAAAAAAAAAAAACCACCACCAACAAAACCTGGCCCAGTAGCTGGGTTAGGGAAAGAATTGTATGTTGTGGAGCCCAGAAGGGAAAAGCGTTTTCTAGAGCCCCTTCCCACCCCTTGAAACCATCTTTAGCCCTGCTTCCCTCTCTTGCCTCCCTCTGTCTGCTGGGGCTCTGTCCGCTGAGCCTAGCAGGAAGCAGGCAGACACAGATGTGGCCTTTGAGTTTTCTCTCTCCAAAATAGGTAGAGTAGATCTGGAAGGGCAGTTGGGACATCCTCATTCCTGACCCCTACCCAGTGCAGTCAGAAAGGAACAACTTGGGGCTAAAGAGACGGCTCAGCAGTTAAGAGCACTGACTGCTCTTCCAGAGGACCCAGGTTCAATTCCCAGCACCCACATGGCAGCTCACAACTGTCTCTAACTCCAGTTCCAGGAGACTGAACACCCATGGCAGAACACCAATGCACATAAAATAAAAATAAATTAAAAAGGAACAAGCTTGACCTATATATAATCTCAGCTCTTCAGGAAGCAAGTTTGGAGAATTATAAGTTCAAGACCAGCCTAGAAAACTTAGTATGATCTTGTTTTAAAATTTAAAAGGGGGAGAGGGACCTGGGATGTGGCTCAGTGTTAGGGCACTCGGATAGCATACGCAAGGTCCTGTGTGAGAACCCTAGAACAGGAAGAAGGGAAGGAAGAAAGGAAGGTAGGAAGGTAAGCAGGCAGGCAAGCTGTGGAATTGGATGAAAGCAGAAAGAAAAAAAAATAGAAGAGGAAGGTCTGGGAATGGCCACCAACTAAAGGTTCCTTCCACCACTCTGGAGGTGTAGTGCCATCCATGAGGTGGGAGCTCAGCCCTGGCTACAGGCTGAAATGAAATGGATGTGAAGATGGCCTGGGGGCACTGGTCCGCGTCTTCCTCTCTCTTCCCACAGTTGGTGAGTCTGGCCAGTGAAGTCCAGGAGCTGCATCTGGCTCAGAGGAAGGAAATAGCCGCCGGCTTCAGCAAGGAGCCCACCCTGGGCCTCCTGCCTGAGGTCCCCTCTTTGATGGAGACCCTCAGCTATAGTTACTGTTACGTGGGGATCATGACAGGTGAGTGGCCTGCCCAGCACTGCTGGGCCACCCTCTGCCCCACCCTACCCAGAGTTCTGTTCCTGTTTTATGTCCCCTGCTCCGCCCCAGGCTACCTGTTCTCTGTCAGCTCTGTCTGTCCTGTCCTGAACATGTCTGTCTACTGTGGGAACTAACCCTGGAGGATTGCTTCCTTTTCACCTGTTCGGGGTCCAATAGAAGAACTAAAGGAGATAGGCGCATGTAAGCCGGGGGTTTCTACCATCCAGAAAGCAAATACTTGCAGCTCAGGATTTTTCATTTTCAGAAAACATATCTTTTTTGTGGGGGGCGGGCAGGGGCCACAGTATTAAAGATTGAACCTAAGACCTTGTATATGCCAGGCAAATGCTCAAGTACTGAGTTAGATTCCCAGCCTTTTCATTTGGTTTGGTTTTGCTCCAGACAGGGTCTCACTATGTAGCCCAGGCTATTCTAAAACTCTCTGTGTAGCAGGGTAGCCTCAAACTCACAGAGTTCTGCCTGCCTTTGCCTCCCAAGTTAAATTTTTATCTTGAGATAAGGTCTCTGTATGTTTCCTAGGTAGGCCTTGAACCTCTGATTTTCCTACCTCAGCTTCCTGG